GAAAGAGAGAAAAAAAGAAGGAAAGAAAGACCACCGTGGTGTATTGGACTTGCACAGGGAGAGAACATACCTTGGGCTACAAAGTGGAGAGGGGAGCTAGAGGGAGGAGAAGGGAAGATGGGGATAAGTAGGTGAGGGACACAGGGTACAAATGCCATTTGTGGTAATGGGCATGCTGCCAGTATGAATCTGGCCTAAAGATTGTGGGAACGAGGGGTGATAATCAGCTTTGTATCTCATGAATATTCATAACTGAAAAACAAACAAACAAACAGATAAAAAGAAATACAGACCCCAAAATGATACAAAGGAACAACGAAAAAAAAGTTGGTTTTTCAAGAAAATAAACAAAACAGACAAACCAATATCTGGACTAACTAAAAAACGGAGAGAATCAAAATAAGAAAACTCAAAAATAAAAAGGAGGCATTACAACTGATACAACAGAAATACAAAGAATCATTAGAAACTATTATAAACAAATATACACTGACAAAATTGAAAAACTGGAAGAAATGAATAAATTTCTGCATGCATGCATACTACCAAGACTGAATCTAGAAGAAATAGAAAAGCTAAAGAGACCAATAACAAGCAACAAGATTTAATAACTAATCAGTAGTCTCCCAACTAAGAAAATTCCAAGACCTGGTGGATTTACTGCTGAATTCTACCAAATTTTTAAAGAGGAATTATTACCAATTCTACTCAAACTTTTCCAAGGAATTGAAATAGAGGCCATTCTCCCAAACTCATTCTATGAAGCCACCATCACTCTGATATGAAAACCAGACAAAGATACTACAAAAAGAAAACTACTGGGAGGAGGGCGGGAAGTGTCGGTGGTGGGCCATAATAATCATATACATTGTATATTGACAAAATAAAAAATTAAAAAAAAAATAAATAAAAAATAAAAAAAAAATAAAAAAAAAATAAAATAAAATAAAAAATCCCAAGGAAAAAAAAAAAAATTATTACCAATTCTACTCAAACTTTTCCAAGGAATTGAAATAGAGGCCATTCTCCCAAACTCATTCTATGAAGCCACCATCACTCTGATATGAAAACCAGACAAAGATACTACAAAAAGAAAACTACACACCCTTATCTCTGATAAACATACATGCAAAAATTCTCAACAAAATATGAGCAAATAGAACAACAACACATCAAAAGAATTATACAACATGATCAAGTGGGATTCATTCCAGGGATGCAAGGATGCTTCAACATATGCAAGTCAATAAATGTGAAACATTATTTCAGCAAAATTAAGGACAAAAATATATGATCATGATCAAAAATTGATAGATGCAGAAAAATCATTTGACAGAATTCAACATCCCTACCTGATAAAGACTCTCAGCACATTAGCTATAGAAGGAAAGTATCTCAATACAATAAAAGCCATGTATGACAAAAACAGCAACAACATCATCCACAATGTGGAAAAGCTGATAGTTCTTCACTTAAGAATGGGAACAAGACACGGATGCCCACTCTCACTGCTCCTATTTAACATAAGATTGGAAGTACTAGCTAAAACAATCAGGCAAGAGAAAGAAATAAAATGCATCCAGACAAAGTCAAACCGTCCCTGTTTGCCGATGACATGATCCTATATACAGAAAAACCTAAAGACTCTACAAAAGAACTCTTACACCTGATAAATAAATTAAGTAAACTTGTAGGAT